GCTTCTCCCTCTCCCTCTGCCTGCCACTCTGCCTACTTGTGCTGTCTCTCTATCTCTCTGTCAAATAAATAAATAAAATCTTTAAAAAAAAATAAACTTCTATTTGTTTTTCTCCTGTTAATCTGTCTTTTACTATAGCGGGGTCACAGCCAAGAACTTAGAAGGGTAGAGAGGGGTCACCTGGATGGCTCAGTCAGTTAAGTGTGTGACTCTTGGTTTCGATTTTGGCTCTGGTCATGATCTCAGGGCTCTGGGATCCAGCCCCACATAGGGCTCCACGCTCATGATTGGGGAGTCCGCTTGAGATTCTCTCTCTCCCTCTCCCTCTACTCCTCCCTCCACTCACGCTCTCTCTCTCTTTCTCAAACAAATAAATAAATCTAAAAAAAAAAAAAAGAAGAAGAAGGGTAGGGGTGCCTGGGTGGCTCAGTTGGTTCACGCTCAGTAGGGAGCCTGCTTCTCCCTCTTCCTCTGCCTGCCGCTCCCCCTGCTTGTGCTCCTTCCCTCTCTCTCTCTCTGTCAAATTAATTAATCAATTTAAAAAAAGAAGGGTAGAGGGAAAATTATTTTCCCCCTTGCATTGCCAACTGTTTCTAGAGCTCAGTTGTGCTGCTTCTCCCCACCCTTCTCCCTTAGCACTGCAGTGATCCTCCAAATCCTCTCCTCAGATGCTCCTGCCCAAGGATTGTCATCAAACCACAACTACGTGCCCCGCCTGCCGCCCCACCAGCACCACGGCCACCGAACACATTAGAAGTCATGGTCACTCCACTCTCCCTCCTCAATCATAGGAACCCCTCAGGCTCTGGGACCCTTCTATTTCAGCCTCTCTCCCATCACATTCTGTCCGCTACCAGATGATAGAAGGCGGCCAGGCACGAACCCTCAAGGCAGACACACGGTATAGTTCAGTAATTCCTCGATGGATGGATGAATGAGAAGAGGACACGCAGGATGTTGCCAACTGATCTAAGACAGTTTGCCTGTTTGGCAACCATCAGTTATCTTGATGCATTTGGGAGATTGTGAGTCCCCGGTTCCACAACCTCACTAACTGGTGGGCGATTATAGCGAAAGCAAGCATTCCAATCATGTAATATTTATTAGCAAGGAAATATAAAAACAGCCATATGACCTTTTTGTGGTTTGGGGGGCAGGTGATCTCACTTAGCTCTCTCACGAAAGGGTCATGATACATGTTCCAATGGCAGGCCCAAATCCTACAGTTGGACAAGGTGACGAGGGTGTCCCGAAGTGGAACCTCATGCAACCGGTAGACTCCAAACCTCCAGCATGACTCTGAGATGTTAGGCTGCAAGAGTTGTGGGCCTCTTCAAGCTTCCTAACCAACTGTCTTAACCATCTCTGGAGTGTTGACCCCACTACATGTACTTCATGTGCTAAGAAAACCCCCTAAAGGTGTAGATTAAAGTTTAAACTGTTTATACGTGTGATATTGTGATGTTGTGATTTACAATAAGAAATATATATTTGGTCTTCATCCCCATTTCCGGCAAAGAACTGCTAAAACTATTGGAACGTCCTAAGTAATGAATATCATAAAGGTGTCCTTTGTTATGTTATTGGGGGGCTTTGGGGCAGCACCTAAGGATGAGGGCTGGAGGTTGAATCAATTGCCAACGGCCAGTGATGTAATCAATCACAACTGTGTCATGAAGCCGCCATAAAAACCCAAGAGGACGGGGTTCCGAGAGTTTTCTGGGTTGATGAACACATGCGGGGTCGGGGAGAGG